GAGTCAGTATAATGTGTCTGAGTGGGGTATTCATGCTTCACTGCGGCATGGTATCTCAGTGGGCTAGCACTATAAAACCAGCTTTAGTCTGGGTTAGTACAAGCAGCCGCACATACACATACACACGCATGTACGTCGTCATATGAGCGAAATATTCTCAAGCACGACGTTAAACCCCATTTCACCTCACCTCTCAGCAAGTCATTAGGTATGTTGAATCTTTACGTCATAATAATAACTTATGTATGATATCAATGCCCCAAATTTATATCATAACAATATGTTATATATGATATCGATGCCACAATTACACTTCAATAATCATATGTATTTCTTTCTATCAACGGTAATTCTGGTTCTTTAATTTCACCAGATCCACACAGTATCATTCCAATCTTTAAAGCATTAGGTGTGGTATTTACACGGCAGACATTGAAGCTCATTAAGCACAAATGGATGCACAAAACCCTATTGATCCATTTGTGTTCAAGGCCGAGGTTTCATAGTTTTTACATTGTGTGTATGTTTGATCGATGAAACAGGTGATATATGCTGCAGGCAGACAGATGGAGAATGTCCTTGTTAAATCTCTCTGTTTGATCATATGAGACAGTTAATGTCAGTGTTATAGTCTGTTTGCAGTGAAAACGTACCGATGAATTTCACTTTAAACAAAAAAAGTAAATCAAATAAAGTGAAATTTAAGATTGCGAATCCACAAAATTTTACCTTGTCAATTAAACATTTAAATTTGAGAATTTTATTCAACTTAGGATAAAAGTTGTTTAACAAATGATCATATTAGTTTCAAAATCGCTATTTTTGGTTTGTATTACAAGGGGGTATGCACATTAAATGAAACACCGAGAACAAGCAGGGTTGGTCTAAGTTAACGCTCATCACGTACCGCACATGCATTTGTTTCATTGTTCATTGTTCAACTACTGCGCTTACCCCCTTGTAATACAAACCAATAATAGCGATTTGAAATTCATCAGTACATTATCACTGCAAAGAGACTATAGTTGCAGTGTATAACGTCAAGCGCATCAAGTGTAGCAGACCCAATACTGCCTTCAGCCAATCAATATGACAAAATCTATAAATTCAGACTTTAGAAAGAATTTATCGGCTGTTAATAGGGGGGAGTTCATTTTGAATCTAGAATACATTTGAATTTGTATATTGATCTTTGGTTTAATGTACTTGCTTTTGGAAATATATTCAGGTCATGAGAGGAGGTCAAAATGTAGAACTGTGTGCATGTATAATAGTAATTTACAATTAACAAGCTCTTTATAAATTCACTGACTTTAGAAGGATTTTATCAGCTGTTGATCAGTGTAGTTCATTTAGAATCTAGAATACATTTGCATTTCTATATTGATCTTCAGTTTAATTTACTTGCTTTTGGAAATATATTCAGGTCATTAGAAGAGGTCAAAATGTAGAACTGTGTGCATGTATAATAGTAATTTACATTTAACAAGCTTCAAAGCCTGATGTTTAATAGGTCAACACATCTGCATATGATTATTGTGATCAGTGTGAATAATGCATGATAATGATAATAGCTGGAATCATTATTGACCAATCAATGTTCAGTCAACTGTCAGCTTTCAAGGGTAGATATTGCTGGAATATTGATAGAAAAGAGGCGTAAAACTAAACTCACTCACTCATTCCACAAAGTGATTGTAGCACTTTGACACTATGGGAGTTAATCAGCTTAACATTACAATTGCTTTGTGGTACATGGTCAAGGGGATGTACTGATGATCAATTTTGGGAGTCTTTTAACTGTATATTACCGGTAACTTGGTTTTGTCAATAGTGAGTGAGTGTGTATGATTTTACGCTGCATTTAGTAATATTCCAGTAATATCATGGCAGGGGACACCAGAAATGGGCTTCACACAGTGTACCCATGTGGGGAATTGAACCTGAGTCTTCGAAGTGATGAGGAAGCGCTTGAACCACTAGGCAACCCACCACCCCTTTTTTGTCAAGAACACAGATGCAGTCACATTATTATCTTTGGGTTATTTAGACATTTATCTTTGAGCACCATGGAATAATAGAATATCTGTCACTTGTGATTCAGTTTGTGAGTTCTGAATCTTGGCAGCTTTGTAGGTTATTCTCTGTAGTATACATAACATTTCTTGGGTGAAAATGTTGAAAATGTGTATTTCTTGGCCTCAGACAGAGATATCAGCTCAAGGTGCCATTGTTCAAAGCTTTCTTGGTGCTAAGGGTATCATTACTCCCATATCTTGATGTATTCTTACGCCAGTCCTAGCACTATGGTTACTTGTAGGACCCGTGGCGGTGGGGTAGCCCAGTGGTTAAAACGTCAGCTCATCACGCCGAAGACCCGAGTTCGATTCCCCACATGGGTACAATGGTGTGAAGCCCATTTTCTGGTGTCCTCCGCCGTGATATTGCTGGAATATTGCTAAAAGCAGTGTAAATCTAAACTCACTCACTTGTAGGACCGTATGTGAAGATCTTGGTTAGAATTGGTCTTAGCAACCATGCTTGTCGTAAGAGGTAAAGAACAGGATCGGGTGGTCAGACTCACTCACTTGGTTGACACGTCATCGTATCCCAATTACGTAGATCAATGCTTATGCTGTGGATCACTGGATTGTCTGGTCCAGACTGGAATATTGCTGGAATATTGCTGCATGCAGCGTTAAAACAGTAGACAAACAAACAAAACTTGTAGGACACCCAGTTACCCTGTTGTTGGAATGATGTGACATAATTGTGTGATTAACATGGGATGACATCATCACCAGTAAAACAGTACACAGAATGACAACAGTGGAACAGTTGTCATAAATGTTTCATTTGTATGAATCAATGTGAACTTTGTAAAATATATGACATATTGTTGGGGGATTGAGCCCTTGATTTTAACATACGTGGCACAGATGTGGTTGACAGGTGTAGCTATACCTGCTAGTGTTCACGTTTACCGGTAATTAACCATATTTACAGTTTCTAACTGGTAAAATTAACCATGGCCTGGTAAATATGTGACTGGCTTGAAAATTATCTTTCAAATTTGTCAGTCTTCAAACAGTACAACTGAAGCGAAATAAACACAATAAGGATGAATCAGAAAAGTCAGAGATTGTGTGTGACACGGATAGTATGTACGCAAAAATGTCTAAATGTTAAAAACACAAAAAAGAGAAACTTTGAAGATGTTTGGTTGAGTGGATTTTGATGGTTACTTGGGCTGCAACGATTTGGTTCGATTCATCAAAAATCGAAAATGACACCTGAGTTTTGATTTTCGATAACCATTATCATTGTTCTGATTTGATATTTGAATATCTACTTAAATTATTTCCACACAGCGAGAACGTAATTTTGACTCCAGCTCGAGCAGTTTTGAGCGCTTAAATAAGGGAAAATGTGATTGGTTGATGCCGGGCTGATTATCCAGTGAGAATTGTTGTTAGTAGACATCGCCAAGTTGATGATGGATTTCACGCTACATCATTTACATTCCTGATTTCCTAGTCAAATCTTGGAAAAAGGTTATAGTGTGATATGTTTTGTTAAGTAAACGCTGAGAGTTAAATGAAATCAGATGTTTTACTTGTATGAAGAATCGAAACAAAAATGATCGATTATCGAAAATCGAATCGAGGTCAGGGTGAATCATTGCAGCCCTAGTTAACGACACAAAGAACAAACTGAATGAGAACTTGAAGCAATGTTCTCAGGACTGGAAAAATTATTGAGTTACTGGTAATTGGGACTGGGACCACTGCCCGATGTGTCCTTTCCTTCATAATCTGTTAGCGTGAACACCTATGTTTGGAAGAACAGACTGATATTTTCTTGAACATGTTAATATTGCATTAAATGAATATGCAAATTGATTTATATTTGAGCTCCTTATAAGTATTCAGTGTTTCGACACATAGTGATTGGCTGTTTTATTCAAAACCAAATCAAAGTCAGCAAAGCTGGCATTTTACTGATCAGCGATTATGGAAGGGACCCAACACTTATTCTGTATTGTCAATATTCATGTTAATATTTATTTGGTAAAAGTAAGTGACTGAACATTTTTTTCTTATTTTGTTTGGAAATGTACTTTGTACATGCAGTATTTTAGGTTTCTTTTCACTGCATTTCATATTCTGTTCTATTCTAGGATGACACTTAAAATAGGTTTTACATAATGAATGCCCTTGTTTCTTTGAAAATGGATGAAAATTCCTTTCAGCAACATCAGAGCTGGTATCGTTCATCATGATCAGGTTTTGTTTTTGCTTAATGCATATTCATAGCCTTCAGTATTGAGTATTCATAGCTGTCAGCCAAGGAACCGTGCCAAGTTAAACTTATCACAGGGGTACACAAAGTGCATTATAGAAATGATCAATTTTTGGACTACAGATTTTGTGTCAGCTGCAGTGGCTGAGTGGGTTAGATTGCACACTTTGTGTACTGGCAATCACTGAGAGAGTGGTTTCAATCCTGAATGGGACTAAACTTAAAAATTAGTAAAATTTGTACCTTAGGCCAGACCAATGTTATATCTTGTTTTACGGATTTTTGTCCTCAGAAAACCTAAAGGCAGGAGGAAATAATAAAGAAGAAAATTGCCAGTCAAAGTAATATCCCTTTTAAATACTAAAATTATTTTACTTTTGGCAAGTAATGCAGTGTATATGGGGCAAAAAAAATCTGTAAAAAAATTCTTGTAAGTTAACATTTTTGGCCAATAAATACATATTGATAAAACAAGAAATATTATTGGTCTGGCCTTACTAAGAAATTATTGTCCCAGATTTAACATTAGTTAGAGAGGAGATTCGGAAATGCGGACAATGTTGGCGAGTCACACAATAGCAACCACACCATTACAAACCTAAAAATGTTTTTAAAAAGCACAGATTGTATCATTCAACACTTCAATACTGGACACAATTGTTCCGGGCTAACCAGTCCTAATATTTTGTCTGTTTCAGGTTTTGGTACGTCAGTATAGTTGCCTGCCATCGTAACGGTGTTCAGGAACCCAAGTGTCAGTGGGGCTACAACAAGACCCAACATGGAACAGTTGCCTATGACATATGGATGGTCAATGGCGACCCCAGTGCAAAACATCTGAACCCATTTGAACACCAGTTCTCCTTCGAGCTGCACGACGTGTTTGAAATCCACCTGATGGCCATAGTGTTGTGTACTTTACTGTTTCTCTTGTGGCTGTACGCATTCCTCAGACAGCAGCACACACTGACGAAGATCTTCACAGCCAGCTTCCTGTTAGAGATGGTCGGCATCAGTTGCAGTCTCCTCGACACCACCATCTTTGCCTTCAACGGGTGGGGTGCCGAGTGGCTAGGCATCATGGGCACGCTTGTCCGGGTCCTCAGTCAGTGTCTGTTCATGCTGTTTCTCCTGCTCATTGCCAAAGGATGGGAGATTACCACTGATAAACTCAGCAGGAACACTGTCCTCTTCACTTTGTGGGGAATCTACACTGTCTTGAATATTGTGCTCTTTGTCTGGAACAAAGTAAGTATTAGATAGGTCAGAAACGTCATCAGTATATAATACCCTTCATAAACTTAAGAGTTGACTGAAATCAACTGGAACTGGAGTCCCATAACACCATAACCTGTGAAGATCCGGGTTAGAATTGATGTTCAGTAACCCATGCTTGTCATAAAAGGTGACTAACGGGATCGGGTGGTCAGACTCGCTGACTTGGTTGACACGTGTCATCTTATCCCAATTGTGTAGATTAATGCTCATGCTGTTGATGACTGGATTTATGGGTCCTGTCCACGTGCTGTATACTTAAGTTGAAATGTGTATGACACACTACTTTATAATGAACTATAATTAGTGGTCCATATGTGTTTGTTATTGCTGGAGTTCACTGTATCTGATGTGTTCTTTCAGACAGAGGTAGACATCATATCCAACCTGGATGAATGGCAGACGTACTCTGGGTATCTGACTCTAGCATTTCGACTGGTTATAATGATGTGGTTTCTGTGGGAGCTTCGCCAAACATTCCGCTCTGCTGTCCACCCTGACCGCCTGAACTTCTTCCAACATTTTGGTGCTTTCTGTCTGGTCTGGTTCGTCTACCTGCCTGTCCTTGCTCTCATTGCTACGCAGGTGTCAGCTCTGTGGCGCTTCAAAACTGTTCTCAGTATGTATATGCAGTTAAATCTTCATATGTTTCATTTTGTTTGTTTGTTGTTAGGTGAGGTGAGGTGAAATTGGGTTTAACGTCGTGCTTGAGAATATTTCGCTCATATGACGACGTGCATGCGTGTGTATGTGTATGTGCGGCTGTTTGTACTAGCCCAGACTTAAGCCGGTTTTATAGTGCTAGCCCACTGAGATACCATGCCGCAGTGAAGCATGAATACCCCACTCAGACACATTATACTGACTCCGAGCCGACCAGTCCTTGTTGTATCCATTAATGCCGAGCGCCAGGCAGGGACCAACACGTACCATATTTTAACGTGTTTTGGTATATGGCGTGGGGATCGAACTCAGACCTTCAAAACTCTCGGGTGGGGCGCTCTAACCACTACACCACGGAGGCGGTCTTGTTTGTTGTTAAGGGGCAGGGGGTTAGCCCAGTGGTTAAGGCGTTTGCTCATCATGCTGAAGCCCCGGGTTTGATTCCCCACATGGGTACAATGCAAGGAGCAAATTTCTGGTGTCCCCCGCCATGGTATTGCTAGAATATTGCTAAAAACGGCATAAAACTAACTAACTCACTCGATTGTTGTTAACGCTGCACTCCACGAGTCTGAATTACTTTTTTTGTTCTTCAGCAAACTGTGTGGTTTCTAAAGGTTATTCTGTTATCAATGAGGTTACTTCTTGGCAACAGCCCAGTTGCGCAGATCGATGCTTATGCTGTTGATCACTGGATTGTCTGGTCCAGAATCGATTATTTACAGACTGCTGCCATATAGTTGAAATATTGCTGAGTGCGGTGTAAAACTCACTCATTCACTCACTCACTGTTCTAGTCTTCTTGTAACCATGCTAACTGGCATTAACACTCATGGTTAAAGGGAATTTATATAAGATTGATTGTAATGAGACATAGTTCTTTTCAAGTACCAGATATTCATGAATGTTTAAGCTTTTGAGTTTTGCACCTTGTATAGATGAACATATTACACAAAATTGTCGTATCATCACATCAGTGTCATTTGCTGTCTCTATCAATATGAATAAAGTATTTGAAATACTCTAATTACAACCTTATGAAAAGGTCTTAAGAACTCTCATCTGTTCTTTTGTCTTACCTGCTTAACAATTGTCTTACCTTTTAACAATTGTAGAATTAAATATTTTTAGGAAAAATTGGTGATAGTGCAGAACATGCATTTTAAATATTTGAAACAGAGACATTCATCTTGTCTTCTTTTTCTTCTTGATGAATTGAAAAATAGTTCTTTTGTCTAAAAACAAAAAAATCAATGTCATTTATAAGAACTCTTAAACTATGGAAGGAGACGTTCTGGCCTATTTGAGTCTGATTGAGCCAGTTGAGCTATGTTCATGTTCTAAAGTCAAGGGGCGGTTGGGTAGCCTGGTGGTTATAGTATTCGCTAGTCACGCCAAAGACCTGGGTTTGATTCCCCACATGGGTACAATGTGTGATGCCCATTTCTGGTGTTCCCAGGTGCGATATTGATGGAATATTGCTAAAAACGGCATAAAACTTAACTCACTCTAAAATCAAAACTTGAACAAGAAGCGACAGCATTTTTCACTGTTGTGGAGGTGTTCACATGATTCGGTCCTGATCCCATTAACCATGATAATTGTCTATCTTCAGGTATATCGTATGCGGCAGATGTCTTGGCATATGCTGTACTGATTCACCTGTTCTGGCCCAGCAAGTCCGTGCTGTACATGATTAAAGGGGAAGTCCCTTTACAAACTTATGATCTGGAAATAACAGGTACTTGTTTACTGGACCTGAAGATATTAGACAATACATGGTGGTCCCAGATGTATGTACTAGAGCTGACCGTAGTGACTTGTAGAGAAAGTATGTGTAATTCAGCTGATGTGTTGTAGGTTAAAACGTGTGTGTTGTCAATTTATAGATAGCTGAATGGGTCCTATTTAGAAACCATTTCTATGTGTTTAAAAATTTATAAAATCAGCGAAACTGATTTTTATCTTAACACAAAAACTCTATGAAAATGCTATCTAAAGGACAGATGTAGTGATTAATTTATTACTCTTTTTAACTTTTTACATTGTCTAATTTCAATAATGTAAAAATATGTTGCTGGTTTAAGCATGATAAGCTGAATATTACATTTGTATAGTCCGTTTGCAGTGAAAACGTACCGATGAATTTCAATTTAAACAAAAAAGCAAATCGAATAAAGTGAAATTAAGATTGCGAATCCTCATAATTTTACCTTGCCAAATGAACATTTAAATCTCAGAATTTTATTCAATTTAGGATAGAAGTTGTTTAACAAACGATCATAGTTTCAAATCGCTATTATTGGTTTGTATTACAAGGGGGTATGCACATTAAATGAAACACCGAGAACAAGTAGAGTTGGTCTAAGTTAACGCTCATCACGAACCACACGTGCATTTGTTTCACTGTTCCAACTACTGTGCTTACTCCTAAGATGAGTAAAATTCTGAGATTTAAATATTCCATTGGCAAGGTAAAATTATGAAGATTTGCATCTTAATTCCTCTAATTGATTTACTGTTTTGTTTAAAAAATTATCGCTAGATTTCACTGCAAACAGACTATAAATGACTGGACTGGCAGTAAAGTACAATGCATTTTCTGGGATTGATAATTCACAAAGATCACATGTAGATGTCTGTTTTCATAATTACATAAACTAATATGTCTAGCTCCTTATGTGGGGTAGCCTAGTGGTTAAAGCCTTCACTCATCACGCTGAACACCTGGGTTCGATTCCCAACATGGGTACAATGTGTTGAGCCGTGATATTGCTGGAATATTGCTAAAAGTGGCGTAAAACTAAACTCACTCACTCACTCATGTATGTTATATCAGTGCCGAGGGGGAGCTGTTTTTAATATCTAACTACAGCATGTATGGTATCGAGCAATTGTTATTTTAGATTCCCACTATACAGGAGCAATGGACGCACCTCCTGGGTGAAGTTAGTCCATGTATCTGCCATGCTAGGCATCAACTGCATCCTGTCATGGCTTGGTAGTAATATCATCCTGAAATTTGAACATATCCTTCTCCTGATCTTTCCTTTGGGATCTGAAACAAGAGGTGGATCAGCTTTATCTTACTCCCAAATGGTGATCATGGTTCAAGATGGTCCGAGGAGTGTTTTGTGAAAAATTCGACTGCATCCTGTTCATGGCTGGATAGTAATATCATGCTAAAATTTGAGTACATATATATATACTTCTGATCTTTCCCTTGGGATATGGGGTGGTGCGGTAGCCCAGTGGATAACATGTTTGCTCGTCACGCCAAAGGCCAGACGTCGAATCCTCACATGGGTACAGTGTGTGAAGCCCATTTCTGGTCTCCCCCGCTGTGATATTGCTGGAATATTGCTAAAAGTGGTGTAAAACCCAACTCACTCACTCCTTTGAGATACGAAATTTTTTTTAGATCAGCTCCGTTTGCTCCCAAGTGGTTGTCATGGTGAAAGGATTCTTTATGTAAAGAGTTTTACTTTGTGCTTTACCGCCGCCATATAGCTGGAATATTGCTGAGTGCGGCGTAAAACTAAACTCACTCACTCACTTTGTGCTTTAAGTATTGATGATGGGCTCACTGTATACAGGGTACATTCAGGAATATTTCTGTGATATTTTGTTATTTTCGGAGCGTAATGGTGTTGGGCTGATGTTGCAGGGTTGTTGGATGACATACAGGAGACAACGCTGTTTGCAAGGTCAACAGACAAGAGTGATGGAGAAGAGGAAGAGGATGAACTCCTTGGACATGTTGAAGACAAGAAGAGCAACGGCAACATCGCAAATGGAAAAGTGAACCACGCGACCCTACTGGGTGAACCTGAAGAAACGTCACTATAGTTCTTCAGCCGATCACTGATACAGTCATGCCATAACTCATGTATGAGTCTCTTTTTACGAACATTATGAACAAAACAAATGTTTTATTCATTTTGAATTTTCAAAACAGCAGATATCTGCATCAGTATTTTCTAAAAGAAGGCTCATGTTACTTGAACATTATCATTTTTCAAAGCATAATATATTTACCGTGGTACAAGAATCGGTTGATTGGTAAGGAAAAATAGATGAGAGAACGTTGAGACTGTGTGATAATGCCATAACAAACAAGTGTAACATATTTTATATCTGTCATGTATTATTGTTAAGAATGACAGTCCATGCATAATTCTATGTAATATATACAACATATATATTGAAAGCATTATATATTCAGAAAGTTTTAAACTGTGATGTATGTAAAATCATGTGTCATGTTTGTGATATTTTCGATATGATTGCTGTGCATTTTGCTGTTTCCAGTATGCTGTCCAACAGTGTGGTGTGTGTGTAGTCTTGTCACGCTCAGTAAGGTTGTGTTACTGATGTTATTCGCTCACCTGACTGAAAGTCAACTGAGCTTCAGTCATGGCCGGTTCGTCTGGCATCTAGTCAGTTTTCTGTTGATTGTCATAAATGTCTTCCCCCCAAAGTGAGCATCGGACTTGTGAAACCGAAACTTCACAAACTTGTTCAGGGAAAGAAACCTTTAAAAATTTCCCACTAGATCACAGGACCAGTGAGTGGACAATAATTAATGATCCTGTCTGTACTTCACTTGTCCAAAATAACATTCGAAGATATACTTAACTATCAATAAATTCACTGGCCACCAGGACCAATGCAAACTTATCATTTAGTGGTCCTGATGAATTTTTACTTGCCAGGGACCACAGGACCTGTGTAAATTTCGTGCACACTGCTTGTTCCCACTAAGGGACCGTTCATAATTGATGGCTGGGGGGGGAATGAATGATGATTTTCATGGAAAGGCATGTACAATGTGAATGACCCCCCCTAAGATTTATGGTACAAAATATGTGACCCCCGCTTGCATGTCATGTATAAAATCAATGACTTCCCCCTCCCATAATTTATAGTAATATTTTGTTGTTATTTTTGTGTATAAAATTGGTGACCCCCTAGTGCATGTGTACAAAATTTGTGACCCCCACCTCTCCAGAACAAAATTGGTGACCCCCTAAATATCATCATCCCACCCCAACCCCCAGCCCGCCATAAATTATGAAAGGTCCCTAATGACAACTTCTAAACTTGTTCAAGAGATGTGACTATTTTCAATGTTGCTGGCACTTCAACTGTTTTGGACAAGCATGTTTATGGCTATTGCTAATAATTTTTGGTTTAAGATGTAATGAAATTTGGTAAATGTGTAGTAAATAGTTGAGTTAAACTTTCATTTTCCATTTCTTGCAATGTTTTATGTTTGGACTTAGATTTGACCTTTGCACTTTGACATTGCTGAAAGTTCTTATGGCCATTACTCTGGCAGTTCATACCATGATGTAATGAATGCTAGTATATGTAAATAAAGTATAGCTAGTGGTGGGGCTCAGCACACATGGCATACACCTCATTGTCAATATGATCACTGGCAATGTTGAAAAGCTTATCTATGGCTACTGCTCAGCCATTTCTGCTCAAAAGATACTGCAGTGCTATTGTGTAAAAATGCATTTTGTGCTTGTTATAAAAACAGACAGAAAAATTGTATGGCATTAGAAAGTGCCATATTTTCCTTTGAAGATATAGAGGGCCTAGAGTTGAAACTTTGTGGAAAGTAAACATACCGTATTTCCTCTAATAAGCACCAGGCCTCTAATAAGTGCCGGGCCTCTAATAAGCGCTGGGGATAAAGCAGTTCACTAACAATTACGGTAATTAGGCCCAGTAAGCGCAAAAGTGCCGGGTCTCTTATAAGCGCCAGTCATGGAACTCCTTTGAAAAACTAAACGCCCATGAGCTTATCAGAGGAAATATGGTCACAGTTATTGGGAGTATGCTACTTTATTGGGCAGATTTTCACCTTCAATTTTTACTATGGGTAGGATCGAGCTTACATTTCCTATTAAGCTTATAAGGTAATCTAATTAGCCAACTTTTTACTAAGGGTGCTATCACAAATATTTAGTACAGATTTACCGAGTCATGAAAACATGATTGTTTACTTTTTATATTCAATAGCTATTTTCTCCATGAAAATCAATCTTGACAAAATTTGTATGGATTGTCTGCACGTTACATAGGGTAAATTTGTTACAAATCATAGCCCTTGAAGTGTTTGATTGACAACCGTAGAGTTGGGTAGAGTTGTGTCATTGAACAGGGGGGTCTAACCCTTATGATAGGAAATGGCATTCAAAGTCAAAGTTGGGAGTGACCAACCCTTACACTAACACAACTATGATCGAAGAAACAAGTAAGATCTGTGAAGCCAGAGTCCTAGTTGACAGTGCTAACTGGTATTGTATAAGCTGCGACCCTTAATCTGTATGTTGCCCTATTGTGCATTGCAATGGTCTTTGAAAATTGTACATTAATTTTGTCCATACCTGGAAACATGTTAGAAAGTTAGTTATTTGTATCCTATTTGTAAGTATTTATTTTGGCCCCAATATTTATACAGAAAATATTTGAATATCAATATTGACAGCAACTTCTGTTAATTGTCTGTTTACTCCTGATTGACTTGATAAGCAGGGCCCTTATTCTCAAAACGTTCTTAGCCTTAAGAATTCTTAACTTTGATCATAGCCAATGTGTTAAGAATGGTCTTACAAAGTTCGTAGGATTACGAACATTTTGAGAATAGCTATCCAGGTGAGCTATACTGCCATGGCATAATATTTCATGTTTCGTAAATGCTTCTGAATCCTTCTCACTAGCATTAATGAGTGGAAATTTGTTGTTTAATCTGTAAACTTTCATCAATTTTACCTTCTATCTGATTATTCCACAGATTATAACAAAAATGATTATACATTTGAAAATGGAATCATATCGCAAGTTTGTATTAACTTGTCACAGTCAGCTGTCCATTTGAAGATATCGAAGTATTAGCCAAAGAGCCTAGTTGATGTGTTTGGTCTGGGACAATGATTACCTCCTCCCAGGAATACACTGTACTATATGACCCTGGTTCAATGCCCGCCATACATCAGTCTAAGTAAACTTAGGCTCAGTATTATTTGTTACACTGCTATACTGAGTCTAACAAAACCTTGTGGAAGGTCGCGTCAGGTAACCTTTGAGCGACCTATGACCGTCTAATCAAAAGCGAGACGACCGAACGGATTTAACCAATCAGACAACGGCTACTATTTAGGGTTCGGCGGGACTTACAAAATGGATTTTCTCTTTCCTGGTCGCCAACACTGATCTCACAACAAATGAAAACCCACATAAAACACAGACATATGACCTGCAGAATATACGCTTTGGGGTTTCTGTTGACATGGTTATATCATTAACTAACATTTCCACAAGCTGACATCCTTGAATACTGACAACACGCTATTTTCAGCGATTGTTTACTCACTGTTGTGGCGTGCTCCATGTGCATCACTCGGAAGCGATCGTACGGAAAATAGCATTCGGAATCGTTCGGGTACAAACCTTTTTCGAGGTAAAACTTCAAAAGGTATGTGCGAATGTCAACTTTCGCGATTTGGTAAGCTGTGTTCGGATTGGTCAATTGAAAAGTTTACCTGACGCGACCTTCCACAAGGTTTTGTTAGACTCAGTATAGCAGTGTAACGAATAATACTGAGCCTAAGTTTACTTAGACTGGCCATACATTTCTTTCAGACTCAGTTTCCCACACCATTTAATTGCAAATATATAATTGGAGGAATAATGTATAAAGCCGGAACTTTTCAAACAAGTAATTTTTAAGGCCCTGCGTTTAATCAAGCAATTGTGTTTTTCTTGTAGATTCATGGAATAATTCACATTCCTGTGTCCATTGATAAGAAGTCATTGCTTGTTGAAGTCATTAGGTGACATTAGGTTATTTCAATGTGAGAAGTCAACAGGTTTTTGCATTCCGACATTGTGATAGTAATCAACTTCCTCTTTATACAACTTATACAACGATGTCAGCCAGTGAACAACAGCGCCAAATATGTCCACCTTATCTTGATCTATCTTGAAGTCAACGAACAAGTTTCAGCCCAGTTACATTTTATCTTCAAACTGCCAGTTCATTATGTTAAACTATAAAAAATGCATATGGAACAAAGTGATGGATATTACAATATATTATGTTATAATCTGTGCAACAAACTAAAGTTATAATGGACTTGTTAGAACCATAGTTTACCGTATTTATATACAGTCAAATCCCGATGAGTCGAATGCTGGTGTCTCGAATATTATGCATAACGCGAAGTACCTGTCGGTCCCGACCATTCCCTGTTATAGTTGTCATCATTTGAATACCGGTTACACGAATTCGTCTCATAAATACAACCGATGACTCGAAAAGGAAATTTGGTCCCATGAGATTCAAACAACAGCAATCTTGTATACATAAGCCGAAGTCAGTCAATGAGAAGTTAATTGGTGTAGCAAACTGATCCAATTAACAAACCAGCTCGGCTCACACCTTTCCGTCATTGACGGGTGAGTTCAAAAGGCAGATTAGTGCTAATCAGACTGGAACTGATAAGGTGCCCCTATTAGTTATATGGAAATCATTAGATAAACAAATGCTTAGGCGGAGAAATTAGGACTGGATCATCTTTTTTCTACCCTCATAGGCATACTTATGTCTCGAATACATCGATAAGTCGAATTTATTACTTGGTCCCCAGCGATTCGACTCATCAGGATTTGACTGTATACTTCTCATCAAAAGATTAGACTCACTAGTGTAAATGTAGCCACTTACTTCAGGCAGCTGTTCTAACTAGATTTTGCAAAATATTCCATACTGTTTAAAGGTACTGTTTACACATGAACTGATGTATTGTAGAAAAAATTTGTAACACATGTCATGAGTTCAGTAAATGATGAAAATAAATGAAAATTGGCGAATTCTTAACAAAACTTTACACCAAAACGCAGCTGTTCACATGCACGATATTTGCAGATGCTTTTCAGCAATTTGATGCATGATCCTCATGCAATTCATCTGCATCAGGTTTGCAGTTGGTTCCCCTCAGTTGGTGCAGAAACCATACATACATAACATATAGTGAGTGCTTTAAGTGAGTCTGAACTTTTGATAGGTAGTATAGGTTATTTGGTATGCTGGATGCCGAGCCCTGTAAAGTGGCATTCCAGATGCTGCTGTGCAGTATCCTTTATTCTGGTATGTAGATACCAATATTTCAATTTATCTTTTGTCTTTCCTTTTTGCCAAGCGTGATATAGCTTGTAAGCATGCATAGTCATGCATTCTGTGTTAAAATCCCAATGTAATTTACATGTACCAGCTGTGAGGAGTTACTGAATTGGATTCCAGGACAAATTAAGGACATGCTTGTGCATAGAGGGTTTTGGCACCTTCATTATATTTTCCAATTTTGTTCCCAGACAGCATACAAAACTATGCCTGTAACCATGGTAACACTTTCTGCATGCTGGCTGACCAAAAATCATTAAAACTTTATTTATCCTTTAATTAAATTAAACTGTTGTATCAGTACATATCTTGACATAATTTGCCAAAAACATTTTGTTTGTCTGTGAGAAAGAAAACAATGCAATGTTCCTCTTTATTTGTTTTCATTTGATAGAATTTTATTCAACTCCTAGATATTAAATATATATGATTATGTTATGCTTCAGATCATTCCAGGGAATCAAATAAGCACTATTTGCTGTAGATAGTTGAGTTATTGATGGTTTTCTCATATCATGCTTATTTGATTTTAGCACTATTTGTTCTCATATTGAGACTCTTGTCATGGTGATCAACATGATCTCAAGGAACAGATCTCCCTCCTGTCATCTTGCGCATGTGAGTGAGTGAGTTTTAATTTTATGCCGCTTTTAGCAATAATTCAGCAATATCACGACAGGGGACACCACAAATGGGCTTCACACATTGTGTCCATGTGGGAATTAAACAAAGGTCTTTGGCATGGGAAGTGAACCTTAACCACTAGGCTACCCAACCGCCCCTCTTGGGCTTGTATTCTGCCTTAGGTTTACATGTGTACATAGATATTTTAACTTCCCACTTGGCTTGAGTACCTTTTGCTTTGTCAGGTATCATAATTGCTTGCAGGATGTTGTGGCCACAATGGAACCCCCTCAGGTCTGGTATTAGTTGGTTTACAGAAACTTGGCCTAAAATCAGTTTAAGAGGTCAAAAGCAGAGATGGCAATCCATTAGTGGTGTGACGAAATTCTTGCGTCAAGAACTGTGTCAGACATAGCGCTCGCATGTTATTAACATTCACAAACATAATTATCTCGTTTCCGAATGTACATTGAAAAACGCTGGTGGAATTTGAAAAAAAATACTTTAAAATGGTTTTGTTTTGATCTTAAGGTGTTTTGTAGTTGGTGTTAGAATTCAAGATTTTAGTATCGTGATACGCATCGTATCGCCACCCTTATATTGGGATTCATATCGTATCGCAGCTTCAGTGTCACGATGTATCGTATTGCAGGTTGTATGCCAATACCAGCACTACAACCCATACGATTTTATCGTATTTCGTTACGAAAAAACAACACAAAATACGTTACTACCATAGCAGTAAAAATATGTAGGAATTTTCCAAAAAATACATAAATTAAATTATCAAATATCCTACGTAACATACACAATAAATTTCAACCACATTTATTCAGTATCAAGATATATATGGCGATACTTACTACTGATTCAGGTGAGTACAATGTTAATAACAAGTTCTTAGAATATCTATATATTTTTTATTTAATATGAAAATTCTTTGGAAAAATTATAATAATTTTGGCCAAAAATTAATAATTTTGCATCAGTTTTTGGACTAATTGGGCTAAATTAGGGTTGTCATCTCTGCAAAAGGATTAAATTATTTCCTAAATTTCAGGTTAGTACTGCTAATAATGAGTGAGAAACAAATATTTTAACATGATACTGAAAGGGAATTGTGATTTGTCAGAATATATTCTTTAAACATTCTGCATTTCTTATGAGCAGCAGTGAAGTATTTGTGTTTCTTTTCTCTTAATGCAAGTCGGCCAAATATCATATTGAACAAAGTATGAGGTCTGAAGAATGAAAGTTGCACTTCTTTCTGATGGGCTCAAAGTGCAGTCATTCTCTGCCGTTTGAGTGATGTGGGGTCAGTGTGTATGTTGCACATTTATGAGATTTTTATCACAGCATTAAGTACATTAGGCAAGCAATACAAATAGACACAAGCCATGTATTCAGTAGTCAATGGTGTGTGATGCAGTTTTCATTTGAATATTCATTGATAGTCCTTAGACAAATTGTCTTTCTCTCCCTCACCCAGTCACACTCGGACACACATACAAAATAAGAACAATAAACGACCGGAAGGTTGACCAGTGTTGCATGTGCAGCAAAGAAAAAGGTGTAATTTCACTCCTTATCCTTTCATTGAGGAAACATGCATGTTTATTAAGGGACCGTTCATAATTTATGGCTAGGGGGGTTCATGATTTTTATGGAGAAGCATGTACAATGTGAATGGAACACACACACACACACACACACCCATTGATGTACAAAATAAGTGACCCCCCCATGTCATGTACAAAATCAATGACCCCTCCCCTTCCCATAATTTCTAAGCATAAATTTAAACATATTTTTATGTACAAAATTGCTGGGACCCCGATAAAAAAATAAATAATAATAAATAATAATAATCATCATCATCACCCTCCTAGCCATAAATTATGAACGGTCCCTAAGTACCATTGAAAGCCCCTCTTGGAGATTCCAGGCTGTACCTTGTTTCCAGTAACCTATGCTTGTCAGAAGTAGCGACCAAATGGATTGGTGGTCCAGCTCTGTGACTTGGTCAATTGTGTGAGCGTACCATGATGGTGTGGATCGTTGCTCACTGTATCAATCACTGGATTGCCTGGTCTTAGCTTATTTCCAGCTTGCCGTCATGTGGTTGGAATATTGCCGAGACCTGTGTTAAATGACAAACAATTCGGATGCTTGTCAGAAGTGGAGACCAAATGGATTGGTTAGCAGGCCCAGTGACTTGGTTAATTGTGTCATCGTACCCAGATATCATGGATCGATGCTCACATTAGTCACTAGATTGTCTGGTCTAGCCAAGCTTTTTTCACAGGGCACCATCATGTGGTTGGAATGATGCCGAGACTGATGTTAAACCACAAGCAATTCGGATGGATTGTTTTGGCATTATTCCCTGGATGGATGATAACATGTCCATGCATGTGCGATGACGCATGTAGAAAGTATGCAACAGGTTGTTTTGAAAATAAATATATGCTTGCTCACTCTTTTGGATTAATTTGTACAACATTGTTTTTGGATGAATATGTCATATTGACTGAATAAAATTATGGGGAGGTTTTGTGCGAGTTGTTTTTAAGCTTTGAAAAGAAGAAGAAATAGTACATTTCTTTCATTGTTTTGTATATAAACAGAAAATAGAATCGCAGTAAACTATGTCTGGGCATGGCTATTGTGTATTCTGCCAAAACTGGGAATAATACTTGATCTTGGGTTTCAAATTGCTAAAACAAATCAGATAATCTGACTGAATTGATGACCATGTCATCACAGTAGATAATATTTATGTAAATCAATCATTACTGGTAATTTGTTTTTTAAATGTAGTGTAGAGTTGCAGAAGTTATGATGTCTTAGGCACTGCACTGTTTTTACTGATAACAATAAAAATCAACTTTGAGTACTTCACTATCTCCGACTGTCAAAACAAACAGCAGGATGTCATAATTTGCCAGGCTTGCTTGATTTTCATCTGGTTGCTTAAGTTGTAGCTGTTATACACACACACCTGGTCGCTGATGTTTCCAAATAGAATATATTGACGGAAAAGTCAATGTTCTATACAAAAACATACAACCCTCAGCAACCCATGTTTGTCATAAGAGGCGACTAACGGGATCGGGTGGTCCGGCTTGCTGACTTGGTTGACACAGGTCATCGTATCCCATTTGGGTAGATTAATGCTCATGACACTGATCACTGGATTGTCTGATATGCTACCATTGCTGCAACTATGCCAAAGACACTGATATATTGTCCACATCTTGTGAGGTCTATTTCTCCCACTGTGATATTGCTGAATGTGATGTTAAAGTCTACTCACTTCTTGGCATGTGTAGGAGAAATCATGGGTGTTCTTTCTGATTTTAATGCTTATTGGACATAACATTGTACATCCTGTACAACCCTGTGACATTTTTAATAGATGATGAACTGGAAATTGAAGCAGTTTTCCTAATGAATCAATACTGCATCACACAATAGTCCAAGGTCGCTGGGATTGCCATTTGATTTTTGTAATGATTTGATTTGGTAGTAACTGTATGATGTATAAGACATGTTTACCAACCTTACAGGTCTTGTAAATAAACCGATTAATAAAGTCTTGATCAAGACAGGACAAAAAAATAGAAAACCTTTAATAAATCTGTTGATTCCTCATACAATTAACCTCATTGTGTGTGCTGTTACCATGTTTCTGAAGATAGTAGTTCACAGTATCACTTGGCAATGTAGAACACTATTTGTTGTTAGGTGATGAGAGACTCTTCAACTGTTAAAGAACTACCTCCATCAACATCTAACATTATTTTGAACATACACAATATGCATGATATATTAAATAGAACAATATTCCAGATACAAGTGTGTCCTTCGAACAATGTAGAATGCTAGGTCCTTTCGTTGAACTGCAATAGATGGATGAATAGTTCAACATCTCTGAGCAGGGCATGCCCAGTCGCGGTCAGCTCTTAGGAACCTGATTCAGCATGCTATTCTCGATGCACTTGCGGAAAGCTTTCACTTTATCCTGACACAGGCGCCAATCCTTTGTTTCCGCCATACATTCCTGAAAAAATCAAGAGTGTTTTTTTTGTGCAATATGACCATGATAATGAAACAAAACAAAATTACATTTTCACATTTTAACTTAAACATGTGGCTGACATTCACTTGTGGATATACTGCTAAACATTAGAGTGGTGAAATGATACAATGTTGTACCAGTACCTTCAGGTTGTTGTCAGTTTTTTAGAAAACACGAGAGGCCAGCACCATCATGAGATGTCTAGAGGTCCATACTGCACATGTACACAGATATGGGTTTACTTTAAATTTATATATAGAGACGGTGATAATGTTCTCAATTGACATGTCCAAAGAGGACAACCGTGATAACAGTTTTACATTACTACACCGAGTGAATAACCAATTTATGGTTGACAAAACATAAAGTTTGAAAACATCTGGTAACAGCTATAGTGCTACGTGATCTCCTGCGTACTGGTGTGAATGACCTTTCCACTCGTCCTACACCAAAATAGGGTTGAAATACTGTACGGTTTCTGATATGCTCTGCACTCAAGGACAGTTGATCATTCTCACACAGCTCTCCTAAACCCAAGTTGGGATAGAGGAAGTGGTAAAAGTTAAATGGCTAATCAGATTTGCTCATTCAACAGCAAAGCTTTGCAATCAAGTTTGCAAAGTAAGTTGGATCCTCCTGACGAGACTGACTGAACAATGAAAATGTGCGCCCTGGAAATGCAATACTCCACATCACACACCTGAACAGCATAATGCAACTCCGCGCAGCCTGTTTTCTTCAACATTGTCTCAACTGGGTCATCTTCTTCCTCTTCTTCGCTAGGACGGCGTGATCGGTCATGCCCGGTGGGAGCTGCCATCTTGAGTCGCCTATGATGTGGACGAATGAGACTGAGCTTTTCTTCAACAACAAACTTCTCTCTTTTTGGATGCTTCGCATTACAGTATCGTTTAAATAATTTTAGCATGTATTGGTAATGGATTTCAACTGTAGTTTTAATCTAATACGTTTATCTATGTATAGTATATGTACGCATAATAAAGTTATCTCCCTTGGATGCAGACGCTCTTTCTGGACATCTGCCAAGGTTTATTAGATCTATGTGTGCTGGGTATAACCTGTAATGGCGAGTGGGCAGGGAAGTAATGCTCGAATTGTTTTACAGCAATGTTTATCCGCTCGTTTACAAGTACAGCCTGCCACTGAGGACACTGAAGCAAAATATGTTGAGGTATATGACAAACGTGATTGCAGAGATCAAGCCAGTCCTTGTATTTTCTGATGACTTGTGTTTAAGATAAAGTTGTCTTTAATAATATAGTGACATGTTTTACGATTGTTCATGTGATAATCGAGACAACATCTGATGTTCTTAAACGTCTGAAAACCCATAATACGATAATAAATATCACTGTATTCTTTGGACATGTTGATTGTCAGTTTTTTGTATGATTGTCAGCAGAACTCAGAGGGTAGAACAACATTAGTTTTCTTTCATATTTTGTGAGGCACATGTTTATAAATTTTGTCTCAGTAAAACAACTAGGGACTTGATTATTGTCCAAGAATGCCTGAAATAGAGGATCAATTATCATATGCCTATATAGGCCAACACATTTAATGGCTCAGTCAGTTGCTTGCTACTGTGAGTTAGCCTTGTTTAGGACCATGTTGTCCACAGAACATTGCTTTGGAGTCTTGGATAAAAGGAATTAGTCTCTTAGGCTCAATTTGAAAAATAGGACATTGAATCTGCATAATTATTTGAAGTGTCAACCAGAGAATGTATACATCATATATATATGGATATATGTTAAATAGAACAATGCCTAAAATGCAGTCCTTAATGCTAAAAAGCCAGCTGTTGCAATCTGTTGCTGTTTCCTGAGATAGCCACACAGGAAACCTAGGGCTGCTTGTTCACCACTAACAAGAAATGAGGTAGACTATCAAAAGCCTTCGATATATCCATTAGTATGGAAGCAACATGCTTATGGTTCTATTCTGCTTCCTGCCACTCTTCATCCAATCTTATCAGCGTTGTCTGACGTCCAAACTACAGAATTGTGCTGACTGATTAAACATTAAATAAATACTGGGGTAGGCTAATGGCTTGTTTGATAACCCACTTGGGTACAGTGTGTGAAGCCCTTTTCGGTTGTCCCCTGCCATGATATTGCTGGAATATTGCTAAAAGTGGTGAAAAAACTACTCACTCACTCAAACAAATATTAAAATAAATACATTACTTTTTGTAATACAGCATCGTCTGTCTATTCATTACTATTCATAACAGGTATTCATGGATATGTTACATTTCAGACTGGAAAAGGACTTGTCATGTATGTGTGTTTTCTGAAAGGAGCCACAGCTGATATCCTTGATAAAATGGGTAATATTTTTCAACTTGGAAGACAACGTCATTGTTTTCACCTATAATGGTTTTATCTTTTCAAAAGGTTCAAATATTTGAAGTCATGTTAAAAACATATTTATTGCCATTATTCAGACGTAAGCTTTCATAATGAATCTTAGATAAAGTGTATTATGACAGGGAATCAACTGAACTGTTGGTATTTAACCATTGTGTTAAATGTGAGCATATTAATTTCAGTGAAATGTACACATCATCAAATTAAAAAAGTGATATCACTGTTATAATATTTAATTCAAAGTGAAGTACATGTAATTGTAAATGCTGTTTGTTGTAGTGAGGCTGAATTTTGGCATATTTCTGCTTATGGTGACATCATATTTCGTTCATTCCATTAGATGCTGGTGTTGATTTTTAGTCCACAATATACACAAGGTCAAAAGATAATACTGATATCCCTGTAATAAAATTTTCTATAAAAGTGAAGTAACAGTAAATGTTGTCGGTTGTAGTGAAGTGTGCGCTGTCGGCCCAGTTAAGTGAGTCTGCTGCAGGGAAACGTGTTTCTATATTAGACCTCCCTGGGAACATCCTCATCATTCCACAGGCAACACTTGGTGGAGCACTGAAGGGCAAGAGAATGCAGTATCACAAAAACATTGATAAAGAGGAAGGCGCATCCTTGTACGCAGACTTCGTATCTCTGTGTCGAACTACCTTACAGGAGGCTGAAAGTTCCAGAGAAGCTGGATGTGTTGTCCAAGCCGGTACCTATGGGAACAGACAGGTCTTTTCATGTGATACCAATGGGCCATACACACATTTACTGGAGTTTTGACAATCATTGCCTGACAGGTTTAAGATTTACAGAAACCTTGTTGGTCTTTTTTATGGAAAGTAAATAAACTGTTGAATAAGATATTATTCATTACTGTTCCTATTTTCAAACAAATACCAACATTATTACTTCTATTCTTGATGATCACGTCAAGTATGCAGATGTAAGCTTTAAATATCTAATCAGTAATGATCAATCAAGTCAGGTTGAGCTTTAGTATATGGGAGATAACTCTTGACACCTAAGATAAATGGCACCATTGAAACATGTTTTTGTTGTGTCATTCTCTGTTCCATTTCTAGTTTCAACAGTAGTTTCAAGAGGAGATATAACAGTACGATATCTTCATGTTGAGATATAAGTTTCATGCAGTCGCATGATCACTTTCCTGATCCTTTGGTGGGTTAGTTGAGTTGAGTTAATTTTGCCTGAAGAGCATTATTTCAGCCATATAGTGATGAGATGAAATCTGTGTACGTACACATTTTTCGTCATATGAGCGAAATATTCTCAAGCACGACGTTAAACCCAATTTCACCTCACCTCACATACACATTTTAAGTTACAAAGTTGAAAAGAGTTTCTTAAAAACATATTTAATCATTACACTATTATTTACAAACAGAAAAAGTCACCAAATTCATGAACAAACAATCCGTCATTCACATTACAAATTACAATACATACTCAACAGAAAAGTTAAGGACCACCCTAATTTTTAATATTAAAGTATTTAATAGTTTATATTATGATCCATATAATACTTAAATATTGAATATTGGGGTGGTCTTTAACTTTTTGTTGTTGAGAATATGATACAGGTCAACTTCCCTCAAGTAGTTAACAGTGAGATACAGGAAAAGCAGGAAAACAGATCTTTCATATTTATTGCTTCATAATTAAATGTGAATCCCTTGCATTTGAAAAGTTCACAGTCAAGCAGAATATGATTGATGGTGAACACCTCATCGCAAGAGACACTTAGGAGGTCGATCTCCATCCGTTTTGAGCAGATAGTCATGCGTAAACCAATTGTGGCTAATTGGTGGATTAAGTGACCTCAGTAGAATCTTGAGTGAGTGAGTGAGTTTGGTTTTCAGCAGCTTTTAGCAATATTCCAGCAATATCAGGGTGGGGACGCCAGAAATGGGATTCACACATTGTACCCATGTGGGGAATCGAACCGGGGTCTTCGGGTGACGAGCGACATCTCAGTCACTAGGCTACCCCACCGCCCCAGTAGAAGCTTGAAGGTTTCTAGATAAGTATCATATATCAACTCATCCTTCTTAATTTGTTAATCTGGGATTATATCATCACTTCATACCCAAAACGTTAAAAGATGTTACCCTGGCTGTTGTTCAGCATGGAAGGTATGAAACAAGGGCAGGTCGGATTGACCAGTGTCCACATGATACTAAAAATATGTTAAAAGATGGTACTTACTGTTACCCTGGCTGTTGTTCAGCATGAAAAGGATGAAACAAGGGCAGGTCGGATTGACCAGTGTCCACATGATACTAAATATGTTAAAAGATGGTACTTGTTGTTACCCTGGCTGTTCAGCATGAAAGGGGTAAACCAAGGACTGATGGGATCGGTATTCTGTGTCTGTGTGGAATATCCATTTTAAACTGTGGCATGGCATCTCAGTGGGCTAGCCAGCGGTAAATTGAACCAGCACAAGAAGACAGGCATGCACATGCAGGCAGGCGTAAGGTTCTGATAATTTCTTATTAGGTGTCAAACCCGTGAAGATCCGGGCTAGAAAGAATATTGATGTTGTAAGAGGCGGCTAAGAGGATTGGGTGGTCAGGTTCGCTGACTTGGTTGACACATGTCCTCGTCTCCCAATTGCGTAGATAGATGCTCATGCTGTTCATCACTGGTTTGTCTGATCCAGACTCGATTATTTACAGACCGCCGTCATATAGCTGGAATATTGCTGAGTGCGGCGTAAAACTAAACTCACTCACTCTCTATAAGGTGTCAAAGGGACAGAGGGGATCGAGAGGGTCATAAATACGTAATTCATTTTTAATAGATTGCATGGTAGCTTCCCTGAGGGTTGATAGTATTATTGAGAGAAATGCATTATTTAGTTTTAGAGGATTGCGCAGATTGATGCTCATGCTGTTGATCACTGGATTGTCTGGTCCAGACTCGATTATTTACAGACCGCCGCCATATAGCTGGAATATTGCTGAGTGCGGCGTAAAACTAAACTCACTCACACACTAGTTTTAGAGAAGTGTGGTGTGACATAAAAAGTTAGTGCCTTTAACTATAAGGATTTATGGGTTTCCTTTCATGTTGAATACTGCTATTCCTACCGTCCCTTACAAGTAACAAGACAGGCCATTGATTAGTTAGGTTTAAATGAACCTGCTATACCCATAAAACAGACTTAGACTTTAGTCTTGTCGTAAAAGTCAACTAACGGGATTGGGTGGTCAGGCTCATCAGTTGGTAGTTGCATGTCATTGTGTCCTAATAGCCTGGATCAATGGTCATGTCTGGTGTATAGTTGTTTATTGACAGAGATTGCTATGGTATAGTTGGAATATTGCTGAGTGGGGCATTAAAGAACAAGCAAACATTAAACAGACCATCAAGGACGTCCCATCTGTCTGGCTCCCGTTATGGATATTGTAGTACTTTCTAGTTGTGGAGTCGATCACCGTGCAACATTGATGCCATTGTGTTGAATTTAGGATAATTATACTGAACTAGTACTTAACTTGTACAATAGTTTCAAAACACCCGGAAAAATATGTCAACGCGTAGATATGTCGTCGACAGTGGAACTAGCTCATAATTCAGACGAATTGACGAAGACGAAGTGATGGAGTGAGTTCAAACTTCTTTAGTTGGTTACACAAGATATGGCAAACAAGTATACAGCACAGAAATGAGCTGGGTTGCCGGCTCAGACATAAATGAGGTAAGCGGAGTTCCTGCTCAACCCCAGGGCGTTTCACTCTGTAACAAATATTTTGGCCCTGATAAAATGATAAAACTTTGTATGTACATCAGGCAACTGTTGAACTGGTGCCTTTAATGTTTTTGATTTTATCAAATATTATATCTTTCTTGTCCAAATCAAAAAGTTTAAACAAGGGTCAGAGTTTATTTTCTAGTGTCAAACCTTTCATGATTTTTCCTGAAATATTGCGTCATTTTCACAGAAGAAAAGGGACAGCCTAATGGTTAAAGCGTCATGCTGAAGACCGGGTTCGATTCCCCACATGGCTACAATGTGTGAACCCCGCCGTGATATTGCTGGAATATTTCTAAAAGCAGCATAAAACCATCCTCACTCACAGAAAAAATAAAATAAGGGGTCTACATTATGACCCCTTGGCATTAATGGTCATCGTATGTATTGTAAGAACCGAAAAAGTGAGGATCCAGTTGGTACACTATACAGACCATCATGATCGTTTCTCATGCTATCGACTACTGGTTCCTTCAGTCCAAACTCTCTTACCTACAGGGGACGGTGGGGTAGCCTAGTGGTTAAGGCGTTCGCTCGTCGCGTCACTCACTCACTCTCTCACCTACAGGCTGTGATGAATTGTGAGTGAGTGCGTTTAGTTTTACCCCGCTTTTAGCAATATTCAAGCAATGTCACGGCGGAAGGCACCAGAAATGGGCTTCACACATTGTACCCATGTTGGTAATCGAACCCGGGCCTTACGACCGAACGCCTTAACAACGAGGCCACCCCACCGCCCCTGTGATGAAATATTATACAATATAGTCGACTGCACTCACTGGTCCCTGGCAGATACACATAAAAGTTCGATGTTGGTGCAGTTTGGGTCCCATGACCATAAACCGAATGTATACTCTATACTGTGGACAAACTCGTGCCTTGGGGATCTTCGACATTGCCAGTACATCAGTCAATGTGTTATAGATTAGTAAATGTTTTAGAGTGAGAGAAGTTACAATGATTTGTTTGAGTGGCATTCTAGAAGTTGGTGGTACAGAGATGACAAAACTTTATGGATGATCAACTGTTTTATTTACACAATAATGTCTGGAAACGACTTTGAAGCCATTGAAACACAATATCACGTGATATAATGACTTTAATGACAGCTGCCAACGCTGAAGACACATTAAACACAACCATTCCTTCCCTAGAGGTATAGCATTGCACCATGGCTGGCGCAAGTTGTCTGGAGGGATGCCTTGCAGATTATGTTACATCACGTACAATTCCGGAATACGCTGTCAGTTCCCCTTACTGCTTTGTTTTCCCCGGAAGATGGTATGTAGTGAAGTGTCCTTGTATGTTAGGGGATGGTGGGGTAGTTTACTCTGTAAAGCGGTTTGATTCCGATGAGGAAAATGTATGAAGCCTATTTCTTGCGTCCCCACGCTGTGATATTGCTAAAAGCAGCGCAAAAAATACTCCCTCACTCACTCTTTGATGGAAGCAGAAGGTGGGGTAGTCTAGTGGTTAAAGAGTTCGTTCGTCACGCCGAATCTGGGTCCGATTCCCCACATGATTACAATGTGTGAAGCCCATTTCTGGTGTCCCCTGCCTTGATATTGCTGGAATATTGCTAAAAGCTGCGCAAAACCAAACTCACTCACTCACTCACTCTTCCTGTTAAGGCAAGGCGTTGGATAAGCCCTGTGGTCATGCATTCGCTCGTCACGCCGAATACCCGGGTTTGATTCCCCACATGGGTACAATGTGTGAAGCCCATTTCTGGTGTCCCCCCGCCGTGATATTGCTGGAATATTGCTTAAAGCGTCATAAGACCAAACTTACACACTTTTTGACGGAAGGGTCTGATGGAGTTAGCTTCCAAAAGGCACAGGCGTGAGGTCTAACAATCTGATGGATTATCTCATTGCCATATTTACATCTGACAGCAGTTTCTATCTACACCTAGACTAAGTGTGCATATTACATGGTCGCGTCGGGAAACAATATGTCTCTTTATGGACAGCCTCGCTGTGCCAGTTGACTGTGAAGTGTGAATAGACATGTTATCTTGAAATTAATTTCCATAAATCATGACCTCCCTGGTGCCCTGTATTGGATGTGATACTTACTCATG